TAGTTGAAAGGTTAAAAGGGGGAAATTTAAAATGAGGGAGTGGTGGAAAAAAAAAAAAAAAGTTTTTGAAATTTAAGTTTTAAAATGGAAGTGAAATAAGGAATAAAGGGGGGGAAATGAGTAAATTAAAAATTTTTAGAAGAAATGAAAAGGGGTTTGGGGGGGGTGAACACGGGTACAAGGGGGGGGGGGGGGGGGGGGGGGGAGCAGATAGGTCCCTACCTTGGAGCGCTCAAGCCGCTTGAAATCTCGCTTCCTCTCTGCGACAGCGCGGTCACTCGCCTTCTTTCTGGCCTTCTCCTGGACCTGAGTCAACACAGACGGAGAAATCAACCGGAAACATAGGCAGGAATGTTAAATGGCAACCGCCTCCCCGAAGGCAGAACGGTCTAAGCGCAAAATCAACAGCACACGAAGCAGAGCGAAAAACAACGCAAAAAACGTTGAGATGAAGAACATGGGAGACATAAAAAAAAAAAAAACGGGACAAATATGCACGGAAAACAAACAGCACACCGCCTACAGACGCTTCACAGAAAAAAAGAGTCCCAAAAACACATTGCATTGACGCCAGCACAGTGCGTAGCTATTGCCTCTTCTGGAATAGGATTGTGTCGCCCCTCCCCCCCCCCCGATGCCGAATTCGAGCACAACTTACCTTCTCTTTTCGGCGGTCGGAAGCCCGAGCCCACCACGCCTTCGATTCCGCGGCACTCTCCTCCTCTCCGTTCTCCACCCCCTGCGCGCCGCTTTCCGCCGAGATGCCCTCGCTCTCCTCCTCACGCGACATCTCCACACCGGCGCGATCCCCGGCCAAATTCCTCAATCCTTCCCGCTCCTCCTCCTCCTCCTCCTCCATCACCCTGTCCTTGTCCTTTTTTTCTGAGAGAAGTACCGTTGCTCCCGCCGGCACCTCCTGCTCTCCGGGCCCCGCGGTCGGCGCGCCAGCGCCAACAACCGCAGCGCCGTCTTCGCCGCCCATCTCGAGACCATCACCACCACCACCACCACCGCCACCCCCACCTTCGCCGCTACTGCTGCTGTCCCCCCCCGGACTAGTGCCCTCATCGGCTCCTCCCGGCGCGTACGTGCCGGCCTCGAGAGCGGCCCCGTTCCCCCCCCCACCGCCGCCAAGGCCATCCTCGGAAGAAGCGGCGGCGTTGCCGACGGCGGCGTCGCCGAGATCTTCGCCGCTACTGGCGGCAGGTGGCACCACGCGGTCGTCGCTTTCACTTCCATCCTCTGAAGCGGTTGCGTCGGCACCAACACCCACCCCGACGCCGCCGCGCAAATTCCCGTCCTCAACCAAGGCCGCGGCAGCGGTGGCCTCCGCCGCCGCGCCTTGCGACAGCGGCGACCCGGAAGCAGCCTTCTCGGCATCAACCGGAGCGCGATCATCACCACCATCGTCTACGTCTAGCACCGAGCCAACATCCTTGGGCGTCCGGGGCCCCGCCGTATCACTCGCGTTGTCGTCGGCTTCGGCTGACGACAGCAACGAGGCGGCGTGTGCGGCGGGCTTAGCCGCCTCCCGCGCAGAGCTTCCTGCCGCTGCTGTCGGCGAGAAACCCTCGGCGGCGGCATCGATGGCGGGGTCCGTCGGCAACGACGCGGCCGCGGCCTTGTCACCCGGAGATTCCTCTTCTCGTCTCCTCGAAGAAGAAGCCTCGGTCGACGGTAAGGCTGAGGCTGCTGGTACCGATGGCCCAGCTTCGAGCGACGGCGGGGATTCAAGCGCGGGGGTGCCGGCCTCGTCCCTGTCGCTGCCGTCCCCGTCCCCTCCACCCGTGCCAGGAGCTGCGGCCGATGGATCCTCATCCTCATCAAACACGCTAGACGTCGTCGTCGTCGTCAAACCGTTGCTGGCGAGATCGGCCGCTTCCTCCGCAGACGCCGGGCTTTCGGCCCCGTCCGCATCGCTAGCGAGACCGACCGTTTCCTCGTCGTCCTTCGCGGACGCCGGGCTCAGGCCCTCGGTCGGGGTTTCAGCCTGAGAAGGCGTGCCGACGCCGTCACCGTCCGCTGCCGACGTCGTCATTCGGGGACTCTCCTCCTCCTGGCTTCCCTCTTGGCCGCCGTGTGGAGCACGGCCGAACTTGAAGAGCCGTCTGAGCGCCTTCGGCCTGAGCCATGAGCGCGGCGGGGCCGACCCTGCCGCCGCGCCGTCGCCCCCCGCGACGGCAACGGGCACCGCCGTCGCGGCCAGTTCAAGGGCGTTATCACGGGGGGTGGCAGCGGCGGTTGCAGCGGCGGCGGCTGCTGCTTGAGAAACAGCGGCGGCGTGGGCTACGTCATCTGGCGCAAGCTTGCTCGGCGAGCGGCTACGACGACGAGCGGCGGCCTCGGTCTCCCCCGGGGGTTGGATCGTGGGAGGGTCCTCCGCCGCCGCGTGCTCGTCACCGTGGGGCACTGCGGAGGCGTCGTGGATGCCGCCTACCGGGACAACGGGAGCGTCGTCGTCGTCGTCGACGCCGGCGTCATCGGAAAAGCCCTCGGGGTCATCGCCCAGGACAACGTCGCCCTCGCCGCCGACATCAGCAACGACGCTGTCGTCGGTGGCCGCTGTCATATCCCCGGCTTTGGCGTCCTCACCGCTCCCAGGGACGTGTCCGGCACCGGGACCTTCCTCCACGTGAGAGCTTTCCTCTGGGAGTTCGCCGTCTTGCCCTGGCGGATCGGTCATATCGCTACCATCTCCTTCCTCCAGGTGATCGGTCACGGCCTCAACGCTGGCACTCTTGCCCAAGGCATCTTCGCCCAAGTCATTCAGATCGTCTCCGATGCTGTCAGTCCCGTCGCTCCCGCGTGAATCCGGCACAACGTCCTGAGCATCTCCACCGCTTGCATCGCCGGCCTCACCAGTCGAGACATCTTCACCGCCGTTCGTGATGCTCTCGGAGGTCAGCAACACACTCTCCGGCGAACTCAGCACCGCCTGCTCGAGCGCTGCGGCGGTCAGATCATCACCTACGTTGACCACATCATCTGGAAGATCTGGGTCAGCAAGATCAGCGTCATCCCCCGCTGGTGCGAGGTTTGTCACGGGGTCCTCGTCGACATCAGCCTGCCGGTGACGGCGCCACGGAAGCCAAGACCGGCGGGGACGCGTTTCGTCCGCTGGGGCACCAGCATCGCCGTCCTTTGACGAAACATCCGATGCCTCATCGTCGCCGGTAGAGACAGCCGAAGACTCACCGCCCGCAGCCGCACCAGCGATAAAAGCGCCATCGGCCAAACCGGAATCAGCAGCGTCATCTCGCCCTCCCACCAAAGTGCCACCCTCGGCAGTCGATACTGCAGCAGCATCATCACCGCCGCCAGAGGTTGCAGGATCGTCGGCCTCCGTCTCAAAAACCGGATAGACACCGGAAGCATCGTCGTCGCCCCCGGCCTCACCATCCTCCATACTAGTGACGCCGCCTGCCCCACCCTCGGGGTCATCGCCGAGGACAACGGCGCCCTCACTGCCGACATGAGCAAAACCCTCCTCATCGGTGGTGTTCGCCACATCCCCGGCTCCAACACCTTCATCGTTCTGAGTCTCGCCTCCCTCACCGGAACCTTCCTCCATGTGAGAACTTTCCTCCGAGAGGTTGACGTCTTTCCCTCGTGATTCGGCCATATCGCTAATAGTGCCTCCGTCCTCCAGATTCACCTGTGTTACACCCCGGGGAAACAAAAAAAAACAATGGTTCAAAAATTGAGAACTGGCACCTTCACCATTCTCAGGAACCCCTCTGAATCTTGCTACTCAGCCGATGCCACGTCAGAGTCACGAATGATACTCCTCATTTCCAAAGTCACCTCAAAACGCTACAAAAAAAAGCAAAATAAAAGCGGGCACCCGCTCTGCTGTCCCTCTCGTTGTCATGAGTAAGAAAAGGGTCATTCTCCCCATGCGGTGTAACACAGGTGGACAGCCGTGGGGCGTTCAACAACGGTACTCTCGCCTATGCCATCTAGACTGTTTACAACGCGGCCACCACCGTCGCTCACATGTGGATCCGGGCCAATGTCGCCGGTGACAGCATCCCGATCATCTCCGTCGCTGACGTCGCCGGCCTCACCAGTCGAGATGTCTTCACCGCCGTCCGCGATGCTCTCGGAGCCCAACAACACACTCTCCGACAAACTTAGCACCGCCTGCTCGAGCGCTGCGGCGGTCAGATCATCACCCACGTCAACCACATCATCTGGAACATCCGGACCAGCCAGAGCGGTGCCATCCCCCGCCGGTGCGACGTTTGTCACGGGGTCCTCGTCGACATCAGCCGGCTGGTGACGGCGCCACGGAAGCCAAGACCGGCGGGGACGCGTCTCACCCTCCTCATCAACACCAGCATCGCCGTCCGTTGGCGAAACATCCGATGCCTCATCGTCGCCGGTAGAGACAGCCGAAGACTCACCGCCGGTAGCCCAGACGTCAATAGGATCGCCGTTCGAATCGGAATCACCGATGGCATCGTGCCCATCAGGCAAATCGCCAACCTCGGCAGTCGATACAGCCGAGTCGCCATAGCCGCCAGAGGTCGCCGCATCGTCGGCCTTGGTCGCAACATCCGCCGAGACACCGGGGGCATCGTCGTCACCCCCGGTCAAACCAGCTCCAATACTCGTGACACCGGCTGCCCCGCCCTCGGGGTCATCGCCCAGGACAACGTCGCCCTCACTGCCAACATCGGCAAAACCGCTCTCAGCGGCGGCCGTCGCCACATCCCCGGCTTTGGCGTCCTCACCGTTCCCAGCGCCGTGTCCGGCACCAGGACCTTCCTCTTCGTGAGAAATTTCGTCTAGGAATTCCCCGTCTGGCTCTGGCGGATCGGTGGCATCCCTAGCACCTTCCTCCGAAATTGCGGTAAAGGTCCCCACGCTGGTGCTCTCGCCCACGTCATTCAGACCGTCTCCGACATCGTCGCCGCCGCCGTCGCTCCCACCTGGATCCGGGCTAACATCACCGATGACAGCCTCGCGATTATCTCCATCGCTGACGTCGCCGGCCTCACCAGTCGAGATGTCTTCACCGCCGTCCGCGATGCTCTCGGAGCCCAACAACACACTCTCCGACAAACTCAGCACCTCGAGCGCAGTATCGTCATCGTCACCCACGTCGACCACATCATCTGGAAGATCCAGATCAGCCAGAGCCGTGTCATCCACCGCCGATACGAGGTTTGTCACGGGGTCCTCGTCGACATCAGCCTGCCGGTGACGGCGCCACGGAAGCCAAGACCGGCGGGGACGCGTCTCACCCTCGTCATCACCAGCATCACCGTCCTTTGACGAAACACCCAACGCCTCGCGGTCGCCGGTAGAGACAGCCGAAGACTCACCGCCCTCAGCCCCAACGGCACCACCGGCTGCACCGGAATCAGCAGCGGCATCTTCCCCATCCATCAAAGCGCTAACCTCGGCGTCGATCGACACAGCCAAATCACGCTCGCTACCAGAGGTCGAAGAATCATCGTCGCTAGCCTCAACTACAGGAGATGCGCTAGAAGCATCGTCGTCACCCCGGGCCAAACCAGCCCCCATGCTCGTGACGCCGCCTGTCCCGCCCTCGGGGTCATCGCCAAGGACAACGTCACCCTCACCGCCGTCATCAGCAAGATGGTCCTCACCCGTGCTAGTCGTCTCATCCCCGACTTTCGCGTCCTCACCGCTCCGAGTATGGTCATCCCCAACAGAACCTTCCTCCGTGTGAGAACCTGCCTCCGAGAGGGCGCCGTCTTGTCCTGGCGGATCGGCCACATCGCTAGTGCCTCCGTCTTCCAGATCCACCTGGGGGGAATGAAAACAATGGTTGAAAAACTCGAGAACGGGTAGCTCGACGATTTTCCGCAATCCCTCTGAATAGCTATCGGCCCATTCCAGGTCACGCTGTTGAGTCGCCACTGATACTCTTAAACTCCAAAATAACTGCACGATAAAGCAACATGAACGCGGGCACTGCTCTGTTGTCCTTCTCGCTGTCACCAATACGAAAAAAAATCTATTGCCAATGCGGTGCAACGCAGGTGGATTGGCGGCGAAGGGTTCAACGGTGCTCTCGCTCTGCCATTTAGACCATGTCCGACACCGCCACCACAGTCGCTCACATGTAAAGTTGGGGCAAGGTCACCGGCCACAGCTTCCCGATCATCTCCATCGCTGACGTCGCCGGCCTCACCAGTCGAGATGTCTTCACCGCCGTCCGCGATGCTCTCGGAGCCCAACAACACACTCTCCGACAAACTCAGCACCGCCTGCTCGAGCGCTGCGGCGGTCAGATCATCACCCTCGTCGACCACATCCTCTTGAAGATCCGAACCAGCAAGACCAGCGTCATCCCCTGTCGGTGCGAGGTTTGCCACGGGATCCTCGTCGACATCAGCCGGCCGGTTACGGCGCCACGGAAACCAAGACCGGCGGGGACGCGTCTCACCCTCATCAACATCAGCATCGCCGCCCTTTGACGAAACACCCACAGCCTCGTCGTCGCCGGTAGAGACAGCCGAAGCATCACCATCGGTAGCCAAGATGCACATACCACCGACGTTCGAACCGGAATCACCGGTGGCATAGTACCCACCACGCAAGGCGCAAACCTCAGCAGTCGTTATAGCCGAATCGCTGTCACTACCAGAGGTCGCACGGCCGTCGGCGTTGGTCTCAACAGTCTGAGACACGGTAAAAGCATCGTCGCCGTCCCCGGTCAAACCAACACCCATGCTCGTGACGCCGCTTGCCCCGCCGTCGGGGTCATCGCCAAGGACAGCATCGCCCTCACCGCCGTCATCAAAAACGTCTTCATCGATGGTCGTCGCCACATCCCCGGCCTCGACGGCTTCATCGCTCTGAGTCCTGTCTCCTCCATCAGAACCTTCCTCAATGTTAACACTTTCGTCGGAGAGGGCGCCGTCTTGCCCTGGCAGATCAGGCATATCGCCAGTGCCTCCTACCTCCAGACTCACCTGTGTTTCACCCAGGGGAAGGAAAAAAAAAAAAGTGAAAACATGAGAACGGGTACCTTCACGATTATCCGGAACCTTTCTGAATTTTACAATCCAGTCCGCTACAAGTCACGCTGTTGAGTATTTGTAACGTCCCAAACAATTTCAAAACGCCACACAAACAAACATTACAAAGCGGGCACTGTTCTGCTGTCGTTCCCGTCATGAGTAAGACAAAATGCCCTATCCTCCATGGGGTGAAACACAGGTGGATTAGCGGTGAAGGGACAACAGTGCTCTCGCCTACGCCATCTAGACCGTTTCCAACGCCGCCACCACCGTCGCTCACATGTGAACTTGGGCCATTGTCACCGGTGACAGGTTCCGAATCATCTCCATCGCTGACGTCGCCGGCCTCACCAGTTGAGATGTCTTCACCGCCGTCCGTGATGCTCTCGGAGGCCAACAACACACTCTCCGGCAAACCCAGCACCGCCTGATCGAGCGCAGCCTCGTCATCGTCACCCACGTCGATCACATCCTCCGGAAGATCCAACCCAGCCAGAGCAGTGTCATCCCCAGCTGGTGCGAGGTTTGTAACGAGGTCCTCGTCGACACCAGCAGGCCGGCGACGGCGCCACGGAAGCCAAGACCGGCGGGGACGCGTCTCACCCTCATCAACACCAGCATCGACATCCGTCGACGAAACACTCGACGCCTCATCGTCGCCAATGGACAAAGCCCAAGCCTCGCCGTCTCCAGCTGCACCAGCGATAATAGCATCACCGGCCAAACCGGAATCAGCAGCGTCATCTCGCCCGTCTGTCAAAGCGCCAGCCTCGGCGTCGATCGGCAAAGCCGAAATACCGTCGGTAACAGAGGTCGAATAACCATCAGCCTTGGTCTCTACAGCGGTAGAAACGCTAGAAACATCGTTGCTGCCCCCGGCCAACTCAGTCCCTATACTCGTGACGCCGCCTGTCCCGCCCTCGGGGTCATCGCCAAAGACAGGATCGCCGTCACTGCCATCATCAGCATAACCCTCCTCGTCAGGAATCATCGCCACACCCCCGTCTTGGTCGTCCCCAACGCTGTCAGTCTCATCTCGCCCAACAGAACCTTCCTCCATGTGATGGCTTTCCTCCGAGAGGGCGCCAACTTGCTCTTGCGGGTCGGCCATGTCGCTAGTACCTGCTTCCCCGAGATGAGCGGCGGCAGTTTCAACGCTGGAGCTTTCGCCGAAGCCATCCGGACCGGTTTCATAGCCGCCGCCGGGCCCAATGTCGCCGGCCACAGCGTCCGGACCATCTCCATCGCTTACATCGTCGGTCTCGGCAGGCGGGACAGCATCGCCATCAGCATACTCGGCAGCGGCATCTCCATCCAATTCGCTTGCACCAGCTTTAACACCACCACCACGGTCGTGAGCATCAGGACTGCTTTCGTCGTTCGTATTGCTCTCGGAGCCCAACAACGCACTCTCCGGCCAACTCGAAGGGGTTGATTCCGTCTGCTCGAGCGCAGCATCGTCATCGTCACCCACGTCCACCACATCTTCCGGAAGATCCGGACCAGCAAGATCAGCGTCATCCTCGGCCGGCGCGAGGTTTGTCGCGGGGTCCTCGTCGACGTCAGCCGGCCGGTGACGGCGCCACGGAAGCCAAGACCCGCGGGGACGCGTCTTGCCCTCGTCGGCAGCAGCACCGACACCCTTTGACGAAACACCCGACGCCTCGTGCTCGCCGGTAGAGACAGCGGAAGACTCACCACCCTCAGCCCCAACAGCACCATCGGCTGAACCGGAATCGTCGATGACATCGTCCCCATCAGGCAAAGTGCCAACCTCGGCAGTCGACACGCCGCCAGAGGTCGCGGGATCATTGGCGCCGGTCTCAACAGCCGGAGAAACACTAGAAGCATCCTCGTCGCCCCCGGTCAAACCAGCCCCCATACTCGAGACGACGCCTGCCCCGCCCTCAGGGCCATCGCCCGGGACAACGTCGCCCTCATCGCTGACATCGGCAAAAACGTCATCGGTGATCGTCGCCAAATCCCCGTCTCGGGCGTCCGCGCCGCCCCAAGCCCCGTCTCCCCCAGCAGAATCTTCCTCCGTGCGAGAACTTTCCTCTGGGAGTACCGCGTCTTGCCCTGGCAGATCGGCCATATCGCTCGTACCCCCTTCCTCCATATTCACCTGTGTTGAACCCCGACAAAGAAATAAACAAATCGTTACACATATTGGGAACGGATACCTCGACAATTACCAGGAACCCTTCTGAACTTAGGTACCCAGCCCATTCCAGGTCACCGCTGTTGAGTTATCACAGACACTCGTAAGGTTCAAAACGAGGAAATGCCATACAAAAAAGCAACGTTACAGCGGGCACTGCCTTGCTGTCTCTCTCGTTGTCATGAACAAGAAATGAGGCGCAATAGCGGTGAGTGGTTCAACAACGGTACTCTCGCCCAAGCCATCTAGACCGTTTCCAACGCCGCCACCACCGTCGCTCACATGAGAACCTGGCCCAGTGTCACCGGTGACAGCGTCCGGACCATCTCCATCGCTGACGTCGCCGGCCTCACCAGTCGAGACATCTTCACCGCTGTTCATAGCGCTCTCGGAGACCAACAACACACTCTCCGACAAACTCAGCACCGCCTGATCGAGCGCTGCGGCGGTCAGATCATCACCCACGTCGACCACATCCTCTGGAAGATCCGAACCAGCCAGAGCACTGTCATCCCCCGCCGGTGCGAGGTTTGTCACGGGGTCCTCGTCGACATCAGCTGGCTGGTGACGGCGCCACGGAAGCCAAGACCGGCGGGGACGCGTCTCACCCTCATCAACACCAGCATCGCCGTCCGTTGGCGAAATATCCGATGCCTCATCGCCGCCGATGGACAAAGCCGAAGCCTCGCCGTCTCCAGCCGTACCAGATATTATAGCATTATCGGCCACACCTTCCTCCATGTGAGAGCTTTCCTCGGAGAGGGTGCCGTCTTGTCCTGGCGGATCGGCCAAATCGCTTGTACGCCCCCCTCCCTCCAGATTCACCTGCGTCGCACCCCGTGAAAAGGAAAAACAATGGTACCATATTTGAGAACAGGTACACCTCGACGATTGTCCGGAACCTCTCTGAATATTGGTACTCAGTCCCACGCTGATGGATCAGCACCAATACTCCTCCCCCAAAAAAAACACTAAAGCGTCATACCTGCTCTGCCGTCGTTCTCGTTGGTACGAAAAAGAAAATGGCCCGTCTCCCCATGGGGTGTAACACAGGTGAATTAGCGGTGAAGGGTTCAATAACGGTGCTCTCGCCTATGCCATCTAGACCGTTTACAACGCCACCACCCCCGCCGCTCACATGTGGACCTAGGCCAAGGTCGCCGGCAACAGCGTCACCAGCATCCCGATCATCTCCGTCGCTGACGTCGCCGGCCTCACCAGTCGATACGTCGTCACCGCCGTTCATGGCGCTCTCGGAGGCCAGCAACACACTCCCCGGTAAACTCGACGGAGTCGACACCTGCTCGAGCGCTGCGGCGGTCAGATCGTCGCTCACATCGACCGCATCATCTGGAGGATCCAACCCAGCCAGAGCAGTGTCATCCCCCGCCGGTGCGAGGGTTTTCACGGGGTCCTCGTCGACATCAGCCGGCCGGTGACGGCGCCACGGAAGCCAAGACCGGCGGGGACGCGTCTCACCCTCATCAACACCAGCATCGCCGTCCGTTGACGAAACACCCAAAGCCTCATCGTTGCCGGTAGAGACAGCCGACGCCTCACTGTCTCCAGCCGCAGCAGCGATAGCACCATCGGCTGAACCGGAATCAGTAGCGTCATCTCGCCCATCAACCAGAGTGCCGACTCCGGCAGTCGACACACCGCCAGCGGACGAAGGACCGTCGGCCTTGGTCTCAACAGCGGGCGACACACTAGAGGCATCGTCGCCACCCCCAGCCAAACCATCCCCCATGCTCGTGACGCTGCCGGCCCCGCCCTCGGGGTCATCGCCAAGGACAACGTCGCCCTCATCGCGGACATGAGCAAAACCGTCCTCATCGGAGGTCGTCGCCACATCCCCGGCCTCGACGCCTTCATCGCCCTGAGTCTCGTCTCCCCCATCAATACCTTCCTCCATGTGAGAACTTTCCTCGGAGAGGGCGCCGTCTTGCCCTGGCGGATCGCTGGTACCTGCTTCCCCGAGACGAGCGGCGGCGGCCTCAACGGCCTCGGCCTCCACGCTACTGCCCTCGCCAAAGTCATCCATGCCGTTTCTAATGCTGCCATCTCCATCACTGACATCGCCGGCCTCTCCAGTTGGGACAGCGTTGCCATCGACGCCGCCACCACCACCGCCACCCTCGTCGGGAGCATCGGTTCCGTCAGGAATGTCTTCGCCACGGCCGCTCGTGATGCTCTCGGAGGCCAAGACCACCTTCTCCGGCGACCTCAATGGGGCCGATTCCGCAGCATCCTCATCATCACCCATGTCGACCACATCCTCTTGAAGATCCGGACCAGCCAGAGCGGCCGCATCCCCCGCCGGTGCAAGGCCTGTCGAGGGGTCCTGGTCGACCTCAGCCGGCTGGTCACGGCGCCACGGAAGCCAAGACCGGCGGGGACGAGTCTCACCCTCGTCAGCACCAGCATCACCGTCCGTCGTCAGAGCCCCCGACGCCTCATCGTCGCCGGTAGAGACAGCCGAAGCCTCACCGTCGGTAACCGAGACTCCAACAGCGCCGTCGTTCGAACCGGCATCAGCGGTGGCATCGTGCCCATCAGCCAAAGCGCCGGCCCCAGTAGCCGACTCATCGCCAGCGGACGAATGCCTGTCGTCGTTGGTCTCAACAGCGGGAGACACACTAGAAGCATCGTCGTCACCCCGGGCCAAACCAGCCCCCATGCTCGTGACGCCGCCTGCCCCGCCCTCGGGGTCATCGCCCAGGACAACGGCGCCCTCACTGCCGACATGAGCAAAACCGTCCTCATCGGTGGTCGTCGCCACACCCCCGGCTCCAACACCTTCATCGTTCTGAGTCTTGTCTCCCCCATCAGTATCATCACTGACTTCGCCTGGCTCACCAGTCGGGACAGCGTCGCCATCAACACTGCCACCACCACCACCACCGTCGTCGTCGGGAGCATCGGCTCCATCGGTTCCGTCAGGACGGTCTTCGCCACGGCCACTCACGATGCTCTCGGGGGGCAACAACACCCTCTCCGGCAAAGATTGTACCGCCTGCTCGACTGATGCATCGTCATCGTCACCCACGTCGACCACATCCTCTGGAAGATCCGGACCAGCCAGAGCGGTTGCATCCCCCGCCGGTGCAAGGTTTGTCACGGGGTCCTCGTCGACGTCAGCCGGCCGGTGACGGCGCCACGGAAGCCAAGACCTGCGGGGACGAGTCTCACCCTCGTCAGCACCAGCATCGCCGTCTGCTGTCTGAACACCCGATGCCTCATCGTCGCCGGTAGAGACAGCCGAAAAGACGCCGATAGTATCGTCGTTCGAACCGGAATCAGCGGTGGCATCGTGCTTATGAGGCAAATCGCCAACCTCGGCAGTGGATATAGCCGTATCATCATCGCTACCAGATGTCGCAGGGCCGTCGTCGTTGGTCTCAACAGCGGGAGAAACACTAGAAGCATCGTCGCCTCCCCCGGCCAAACCATCCTCCATACTAGTGACGCCGCCTGCCCCGCCCTCGGGGTCATCGCCAAGGACAACGTCACCCTCACTGCCGACATGAGCAAAAACGTCCTCGTCGGTGGTCGTCGCCACATCCCCGGCTCCAACACCTTCATCGCTCTGAGTCTCGCCTCCCCCACCGGAACCTTCCTCCATGTGAGGAATTCCCTCTGGGAGTATCCCTTCTTGCCCTGGTGGATCGGCCACATCGCTGGCACCTCCATCCCCGAGCTGAGCGGCTACTTCTTCTTCCACCCCTGTCGCGCTAGTCCCCCCCCCACCACCACCACCATCACCACCATCATCGGGAGCATCAGTTCCATCAGGGCTGCCTTCGCCACCTCCATTTGTGATGCTCTCGGGGGGCAATAACTCACTCTCCGGCAAACTCGGCGGGGTCGATACCGCCTGCTTGAGCGACGCATCGTCATCATCACCCATATCGACCACATCCTCTGGAAGATCCGGACCAGCAAGAGCGGCCGCATCCCCCGCCGGTGCAAGGTTTGTCAAGGGGTCCTCGTCGACGTCAGCCGGTCGGTGACGGCGCCACGGAAGCCAAGACCGGTGCGGACGCGTCTCACCCTCGTCAGCACCAGCATCGTCGTCCGCTGTCGGAACAACCCAATCCTCATCGTCGCCGATCGACAAAGCCGAATGGTCATCTCCGCCCTCAGCCACGCCGGTGATAGAACCATCGGATGAACCGGGGTCTTCTACGCCACCTCGCCCATCCTCAAAAGCGCCGACCCCGGCAATCGATATAGCCATGTCGCTTTCGCCGTTAGCCTCAACACCGGGAGACACACTAGCAGTATCGTCGCCTCCCCCGGCCAAATCAGTCTCCATACTCGTGACGCCGCCTGCCTCAACCTCGGGGTCATCGTCAAGGACAACGTCGCCCTCACTGCCGACATCGGCAAAAACGTACTCATCGGTGATCGGCGCCACATCCTCGGCTCCAATGCCTTCACCACTCGAAGTATCGTCTCCCCCGTCTCCCCCACCCGAACCTTCCTCCATGTGAGAGCTGTCCTCTGGGGGTACCAACCCTTGCCCTGGCAGATCGGCCATGCCTCCTTCCCCCAGATGAGCGGTCACGTCCTGAACGCTGGTGCTGTCGCCCGAGCTATCTACACCGTTTTCGTAGCCCTCCGGGTCGCTCACGTGTAGACCCGCGCCACCGTCACCAGCGACAGAATCCGGATCACCGACATCGCCGTCTTCACCAGCCGAGACAGCATCACCACCAACATTCTCGGCAGGGGCATCTTCATCCGACCGTCCCGTGCTAGTCCCACCACCACCGCCACCACCGCCACCGCCGCCACCGTCGCCAGGAGCATTATTTCCGTTGGGACCGTCTTCGGCGCGGCCACTCGTCATGCTCTCGGGGGCCGACAACACATTCTCCGGCAATCTCAACAGGGTCGATACCGCCTGCTCGAGCGCTGCGGCGTCCAGATCATCACCCACATCGACCACATCCTCTGGAAGATCCGGACGAACAAGAGCGGTGTCACCCCCCCCTGGTGCGAGATTTTTCACGGGGCCCTCGTCAACGTCAGCCGGTCGGCCGAAGAGCCACTGAAACCAGGGGCCGGGGGAAGCCAACACAGCCGTCCCCGCCGCCGCCGCCGTCGCCGCGGGGACAGCAGGTTCAAGAGCCCCTGCCGCGGACCCGTAAGAGTCCTCGCCGATTCCCTCTGGGCTTGCGTGATCGAGGGCCGACGAACCAGCGAGACCGGGCGGACGCTCGTCGGTGGCAGTCGACGACGGCGAGGGCGATAATCGACCTGCTTCCTCTCCGAGATTGTCACCGTCTAGTGCGCGATCCGGGGGGGGCTCGTGCAGCGGCTGCTTGTGTAGTGCTTTGATAGGCGTGTGGCGTTTCGCCTCTTGAAAAGCAGCGTCTTCCCCTGCTTGCCGGTTAACTTTCACGTCATCGCCCGTGCCCTCTGTTGGGCTCGCGACGGCCACCTGACAGAGGGGGTTGCCGGACCGCGAGGTACAGAGACAAAAGGGGAGGAGGCGTGTTATGACGGCATCCCTTTATATGGATGCCTTGAAACCAGCCAAGTGCACTCTGGGCGCCACCACGCGAAACCAGTTGATGCAACACATCATAGCGTTCGTGGTCCATTACCTCTAGGGAAGAAGCAACAGCAATTCAAAACAAAAACAAAAACCACCAGAGTGAACAGGTGCAAAACAGCTCTCACCTCTTCCAGCCAAGCCTTGGAAACTTCCGAGAACTCTCCCACGACCGACGAGTAGTCCTCCACCGCGGCGCCGAGAAGCGCCTTCGACTGCTCCTCCGCCGCCGCCGCCGTCGCCGCCGTCGTCCTGTCCACTGGCTCCGCCCGCAGCCCTTCCCGTTCCCGCTCGCTTTCTTCTTCCCCACCCTCGGAGCGCCGCGCGAGCTCAGCCCCGCTCCCGTCCATCCCTCCTCCTCCTCCTCTACCAGCGGCGGCGGCGCCCGGCGAAGCGCCGGTCCGCTCTTCGGATGCGATTGCGAGCTGCGCCGCCGCGAGCTCCGCGGCGTCGGCGCGGTCCGCGGCCTCGACGGCAGCCGTGCGCGCCGCCATCACCTGCTCGATCAGCTGGGCGGGATCCATGCTGGCAAGGTCTTCGGCCCCCGCCTCCACCTCGGCACGCACCGGCGGCAACGGCGGGCGTCCAGAGGTATCGCCGCTGTCCCTCGCTCCGCCCCGGAACCGTTCATACCAGCCCCGGATGCCACCCTTTCGCGCCCCAGCTGCACCAGCGCCGGCAGAAGCAGGAGCATCGCCGACGACACCATCAACGCCTCCGACCACGGAATCAGGGAACTTTTCAGGAGTGCCCTCGCCGCCGCCTTCGATTGGCATCCCTGCCGTTGGCGGCTGCCTCCACGGCTGTTCCTGGTGCTCATGTTGTCGGTGGTCGTGCGATGCCAACTGAGTCCGATCCATGGCAAGGGTTGACAGCGCAAGCAGCCTGCCACACGACAAGCAAGGAGAAGGAACGGTAGGTGCGAAAATGGCGTCGGGGTTTCGAGGAAACAAGGAAAAAAAAAAACTGCGCACGATGAAGAACTCTTCAAAGATTCCAAGCAGCCACACGATTAGCCCCTTTAGAACGTCGACAACGATACAACACGGCAGGGGTTTCAACCCAGCTGTCCCCGGCCCGCCAAACAAACATAGCAGCACCGAATGGTAGACCCTTAACAGCAGTGGCTTAACCACCACGACGACGCACCTGCTCATCCCGACCACCGCTACCGCCGCCGCGGTCCACACGAGCGCCCTACCCGCCCCCCGCGCGCCCACCCTCCCGGGGCCCCACACCCCGACCACGCCTCGCGCGAAGCGCCCTCGCCCGGTTGTCATCGTCGCGGCCTGGCCCCGCGCTGGTCTCCCGGAGCCCAGGCCACGGGCCAACGAACCCCGGCTTCCCCTCCCTCGGCCTCTTCGACTGGAGTCATTACTGCTTAGTCGGTGGGACTCGTCACTCCGGCGGCGGCGGCGGCTCGCCGACATGCCTGGACCAGCGGCAAACCCGGCACCAGCAGCTGCGGCGGTGGAATTCCAGCTTCCGTTCACCGTTCCCGTTCCGCCCGCTTGCGCCACACCACGACGTCCACCTCCGATATCCCGCGCATCGAACTCTCTAGGAACTCCCGCCGCCGGGAGTGCCGGCAGCAGCGGCGCCGGCACCGGCGCCGGCGGCTTGTCCAGGCCGAGGACAGCGTAGGCCACGCGGTGCAGCAGAGAGTAAGGGTTGAAGTGCGGCCCGCCTCCGCGCCGCGAGGTCTGCACCAGCGCCACCGACACGAAGAATAGCGACACCATCGCTCGAGCATGGCCTGCGCGGGGAGGGGGGGGGGGGGGGCAGTATCACGGCACATTCGTTTCGATTAGGTGATGTGCATACATTACAACCAGGATCGGGGTATTGTACGGCGAAGTACTGCTGCTGTTTCGAAAAACGGACAGAGGAAGCACAGGGACTGGTGCGTAGGCTTGGAAAAAGGGGTTTGCAGCGGCGGCGGCGCAAACAGCTGCTCAAAGCCGACGGGACACGGTGCATGCAGACGTGCTCCGCATTAAAAACCGCTCTTTATTATGCCGCGTGAGGCAGGCACTACAAGCGGAGTGCCACAGCCGTGAGTCCGGGGGCATCATAAACAGCCGAGTGGAAATTATCGCCAACACAGAGGAATCCTGAACACCGTCGATGCGTATGTTCGGCTCCAAACAAGACCTATGTACCTCCCTCATGGATACAGCAAACGAACGTCGCACTTCAGTCCTACTGCACCTGCAAATCCTCCACTCAAACAGCAGTAGCAGTAGAAGTCTGTGCCGTAGAGAGCGCTCTGCACGGACCACGGAACGCCGGCGGACAGGGCAGACAGGCCGCGGTCGCCCGGGAGGAAAACGCCACCGCACGCCGCCAACACGCCGGCCAGGAAAACCAGCGTCCAGCCTTCCGCTGAAGAAAATCCACACATCCACATAAAAACAGGGGGGGAGGGACCAGAAACAGGCGATGAACAAAGTCAAATGCAGACCGCGTGGGACACGTTGATGGCGCGAAAAAGCACGCGGTGCGAATAGTTGGGAGTTTTTTCCTACAAGCAGATTGTGCCGGAGACCCCGCGTGAAACCCAGCAAAAAAATCCAGTGGCCGAGCAAATACTTGTATACATAAGGCGCTGTTGGTGCCGCAGTCCTGGTTGTGATTTTTCACGTGCTAGTTCGTTGCACAAGATTCATTATAAAAACATGGACCAGGCAATAACCAAAATGCTTCCCGACTAGGGCTTTTGGAACAAAAAAACAAATCAGCCCGAGAAAAAGAAATCTTAAACAACCGCAGCGTGAAACATGGCTGGCAGCAAGACAAATAACACGCTACACATGAGCCTCACTACGCATACACTTAACGCGCGAACGACATGAACCAGAGCTCCAACTTACAGGGCGCGGTCTCCGGAGCCACCAGGGGGGCAACGTCCCGGGCGACATCGATGGCACCACACAAGAGGGACGCGCGAAACGCTTCCGAGAGAAAAACCAGCAAGTGATGGGCCACCGGCAGGGACAGGAGGTCGCGGAGCGAGAACGCTCGGCCTGGCCTAGGAGCCCAGAGCCTTGAGACGAACAGGATTGCGGTTTGAGTTGCGCACGCGCGAGGGTTGTGATTGTCTTCACATTAGAAACCGTTCCGGTCTTAGTAATACTGTAACACCCGTGGAAGCAGTAAATTGGGCTGGATGATGAGACGGGTGAACGGGCGTTCGAACAAGCAACACACATCCAAAAAACGAAGTCAAGCCGACAACACACGGCAAACACAGCAGTGGCGACAGCTAAGGAGGCCTATCCACGACACGCACCTCCCTCCGACAAGCACCCACGCCGCAACCGCCGCCGGCCAGACAACAAACCCCGTGAGCACCATGCTACGGGTTCCGGTGACCAGACAGGCTAGAACGTTGCCACCGAACGCCCCGAGGCAGGTCAGCAAGGATCCCAGAGCAAGACCCGGCAACGGGTATGCCGGCGTTCTCTGCGAGGGGGGGGGTGGCGGAGGGGGGGCAGGGGGGGGTTCCAGGTGATGAGGTGCCGGTCCAGAAAAAAACTGGATCGGAACGAAACAATCCAGCTTGATAAGTGTCTTCTCTTTTGCATTCATGCCTTTCTGGGTGCCATGACAAAAAATCGACAACGACTTTCAATGAGCGCGGAGATACCAGGCCGGCATGCCCGGAAAAAACGGGGGCGGCCGCGTGCCACTGCTGCCGCGGTACCAACCAGGCTGGCCGCCTTCAGATGCACAAGCGCGGGTGATAACACACCAGTACCAGTGCGACGGTCTGTACCGATACTATCGAGAAAAAGAGCATGACGTTCGTTTTGCTCGCGAAGCGCCTCACCATTTCCGCAAGATGGCGCACCCTCGCCGCCGACACCACCGCCGCAGCAAACGCCCCCGCTTCCGGGCCGAAACGGAACGAGAGGAGAAACGCCTGCCGCCCGTGGGAAACCCATGCCCCCAGAACCTTGGTGGCCCAGAACGCCCGATTGCTCTCCAAGACCACCTGGAGAAAGGGACAGGAAGGGCCCAGACTTGTGAGATAAAATACACCTGCAGTCGGGTCACCCCCATAGTGCGCTTGCCCGGTATTGTGCGGGTGAAAATGGCTGGCACATGGCACAGATGGACTAGTCAAGACGGTCAACACAGTGCGGATGCCCGCCATCGTGCGCGGGTGAAAGCACCTGGCACATACTGTACCCGCCCAATAGAGGGCCCCGGACTACTGTACCGAATTTTCCGCTCGGAACGACAACGGCGGCGTGAAAACGTCTTTCGAAAAGAGCCAAGAGGTAAGATTGCGGTTTGAGGCAGGGGGAAAGTCTAGGCTGCAAATAGCTCAACGCCAGCCAGGACTCTAGAAAAGAGAAAAGAAAAAACACCGCACGTATGTGGCTCGTGGGACGTTTCACGCCCTTGCCACCAACCAAGAGAAAGAATACCGACAAAAAACAGAGGCAGCACAGACAACAGTATCAATCACAAAAAAAGGTGGAGTATAGGCTGAACTAGACTCAAAACAAGCAGGCTCTTTCTCCCACTGACAGCAAAGTCTTCAGAGCATCCCCTTCGACTGTGGTCTTATCTCGAACGAGTACAAGTACAGTAGTATTTCTGTGATTGTCTACTTTCCAACAAGGCGAACCAAGTGCCCATATACCGCCGCATGCACCCCTCGCACGTGAGAGCCGCAGGCGGGACCGACAGCAGCGCCAAACTTTTCCCGGCGCCGGCCGGCGAAGCGGCGGAACCCGACCGACAGACCGCGCTCACCTGTCGGACCAGAAACGCCACCACCGCCGACGGTAACGCCCAGGTCTCAAGCCACCACAACGACCGCTCCGCCACCACCGCTTCCGACAGCAACCGCAGCGCATCTCCTACCGTCCTCGCCCCCCCGGACGCACCACCACCAGCTCCGCCGACCCTCCCTTCCGAGCCCGCACCTGTTACTGGCGACGCGGTGTCATCTCTGCCGTTTCGGGGTCCGACTGACCCCGGCCGGCCTTGGCGGTCTTCTCCGATCGACGTGCTGCTGCTGCTGCTGCTCTCGATCGACGCGCTTCCGCGGGATAGGCGTCGGTGCTCGGGCCTTGTTCCTCGTTCGGCATCGATCGAGGAAGGCATCGACGTCGCTCGTCCCTGGCCCATGCCCGTCCCGAAAGGGGGAGCGGCTCCTGACCCTTCGCGTGGCCTACTACGCCGGAGCAAACTCCCACTATTGCCATTAATCGCATCGGCGGCGGTGGGGGCAGTGCCGGAGGCAACGCCGGAGGCGGTGCCTTCCATGCCACCGAAACGTTCGCTATCCCGACCGCTTCCACCCGGTTCCCTGTCGTCGGATAGCGCGCCGCCGGGGAAAGACTCGGGCCTCGGCACGCCGCGGTCGCTTGAGTCCGAAGAGGAAGAGGGAGGCAGGGCGGCGGCGGCGGCGGCGCTGGAAGCAGCAGCAGCAACAGCAGCCGGCGACGGGAGCCGCCGGCTCGGCGAGCACTCCTTGCCCTCAGCGGGGCTCGCGGCAAGCGGGGCCGGGACGTCCCCCTCTTCTCCCGGTTCCTTCCACCACGCCATCTTCTCCTCGCTGCTGCTGGCGGAGGCGAGCTCCAGCGGCACGACTCTTCCCGGGCTGAGAACACGAGCAGCAGCAGCAGCAGCAGCGGCGGTCGCTGCTGACGCCCCGCTGCTCCTACGCCTCGCCCTGGCCAGGTCGAAGAGCATCTCTTGCTGCTGCCTCCGGCTCCGCTGCTGCTGCTGCTGCTGCTGTTGGGCGCCGGTCAAGCTTGTCGCGGGTGTTGGCGCCTCGCTCCCCCGTCTCCTCCACCTCTTGGCGGCTGTGAGGCCAGCCTCCCAACAAGCGGCCAGGTCGTTGGCGTAGGTGTGATGCTGCACGGAAGCAAGGCGAGGAAAACGCTAGCGATCATCAAGAAAAGGACGCTCTCCGGGTACATTGTACACATACAGTGCTCCCCCCCCAAGGGTCAGTCAAACATACTTCGCGAAAGGATGTAACTCGGAGTTGTGCAAAACTATTGTACCGTTTCCTTCATCATCCTGGTTGGCCAAACTGAGGCCCTGATACCGGGCGGAAGCCATAAAACGTCCGGGAACAGCTCATGCCGAGAGACAAGCTCTACACCATAAGCGTTCGACTTTGCCTCCTCGAGCACTGGAATCAGCTCTCACTTTAGTACTCGTGAGACGGCAATCAATAGACGGGTGAGATGTTAACGCTCACTACGGTGGAGGAGGGCACCAAAACTACCAGCGCAGCTGCCGCACAGCACGCATGCCCCACGATGAGGAGGCCACCACTGCATCGCTTACACGGCTCGGAGCAACGACCAGGAAGCACGCGCGCGTTCACCAAGGCTACAACTCGACCACACGAACGGCATGGACGCCACGAGAGCAATGCCGCGCGAACAAGGTGGAAGCCGTTACAGACCAGGCGGGCTGGGCAGGAGACCAGTCCGTCCACGGGAAAAAACAAAAAAAAGTTGAAGCCGCAGGTCACCAACCTGATTCAAACACGCCTCGCCCCTGAGAAACCCAAGGAGGGCGTAGCACGGTGAGAGGGGGTTAAACCCTCCAACCGGAGGCAACGAGCGCAGCAAGTAAACCGCCGCGAACACCATCGCTAGCGCCATACGGACCGAATCCGGGGATGAAAACCACTCAGCCCCTGTCCATTTCGGAGTTTAAGGGGTGAGAGCGGAAGAGCATAGGGGATGAAACAAGTTTGTGCGAACCTCAGCCTTTCTCGTCCAGATGTCTGGGCAATCTCTCGTCCAATTTTGATCGCAGGGGTTTCAAATGGATGAGGCGGGCCTACCACACTCGAACGTCTTACGGGAGAGAACGCGAAACCGACGGTATCTACCCGACCTCGCACTCTGGGGAGCACCCAAAAATGCGGTACGTATGTAAGCGCGACTCGAAACAGCAAAAACACCGCTCACCCAGCAAGTACTCCCGCATGACGCCTCGAAACACGCCCCCCGAGGTCAGCGCGTAGAAAACCCCTCCCAGCGCGCCGCTAGGCACAAGCCACGCGGCCGCCGCCGTCACCCGCTGCGACTCCCCCTCGCGCCTTCCCGGACCGGCCTCCCTTCCGGCAGCAACATTTACGGCGGAACTTGTGCCCGTACGAGAACGACTCCCCCCCCCCGTCGGAGGCTCCGCCGCGTTTGTCGCGGAGGACGCGGTGCGTTCTAGCCGTCCCCTCCGCCCTTCTTCCCCGCCACTCTTACCACCGACGCTCCCACCGACGCACGACACCGCCGCTCCCGCGAACGCGCAGGCAAGAGCTCCCAGGAAGCCCAGGACCAACGTCAAGGCGAATGCGCGGGTCCCTTCCGCGGAAGCCGTCTCCTCTCGCCCCTCCTTGTACGGGAAAGCCAGCGACGGTGACGAAACCGAAAACCCCCAAGATACTAGCGCCAGCGCGATCTCCGACGAGGCGGCGACGCAGCTAGCTCTCAGGAGCTCCGCCGCTAAGCCCAAGGGCACGCGGAGCTGAAAGGGTTGGGGGGGGGGGGGGGGGCAAGCGGGGTCCTGGGTGAAGGTTCCTTGCGATAGCGCTCTTGTTCTGCTCCTTGACAGCACTGCTGTTCAGACTCTTTTTGAAAACGCCCTCGGAGAACCTCCTGTCACGTTTACTTGTGCACCGCGGTTCTTTGGAATCCAATGCGAAATACGGACGGGGGCGCGTGATCCCTGAGCCCGTGGACCATATACAGAGAGGAAAATATCTTCTCGCATGTGTCTAGGTCAAAATATTTTGAGTTCAGCCACAGGGCCGCGGCTATTACTCAAAACTCAACCATTGTACCGCTGGATCCGTGATTTTGGAACCCGGCCGATGTTTGGCGGGACACTTCGACCCTTCTTCGTAAATAGACTAGCACTAAGCAGAACGTGGAAACTACCATGAGCGCCTTGTCTTTAGGCTTTCAAGGGGGGGAACCAACGCGCACCAAGCGATGCCAAAGAAGCTGCCGCACGGACGAAGCCCCGGTCAGGGTGTAGCAAACCGCAGCCGCACCAAGCGCCACAGCAAGCGTCACGGCTAGGCTGTCATCGCTCGTCGTCACAGCAGCCCATCGATCTCCCTCTCCCCCTCCCCCTCCCCTGCCCCAAGGCCAATAAGACCCCTCAGGCGTCAGCTTCCCGGTCTCCCCCAGTGCCCGTGTCGAGGACGACCAAGCGAGAAGTAGCAGCAGCGCCCAACGGCCTACGCGTACGATGATTAGGCCGCCGTACGCTGTGAGCGTTCGACGATAGCAAAGCAAGACGACCGTTCAGCAGCAGCACGAGAGGAAACGGCCAGGCCGGAAGCAGTAACGGGTGCGGCGTCAGCAACACAGCACACGGAGCAGCGGCACGCATTTGAAACCGGGAATAAAACAAGCGTTCACAAAGGAGCTGTAGACCGGTGTTCCAACACCGCACGCACGACGAACATAAGAGGACGCAGAAAAGCAAGCAAGCTCACCGTATGCCCAAGTCCACACCACGCCTTTGAGCCAGTGCAGAGCGACCTCACAGCAGTAGCGGTAGCGGCTGGAGAGGTCTGTTCTCGGGTCCGCCGAGACGGTGCCACTGGCGAATGGCCGCTGTTGCCGCCGTTGCCACTTTCGTAGCTGCAAGCAACGGACGTGTTGAGGTGCGTGGTTTAGAGGAGGTGGGCCAGCAGGGAGGATTGCGGGCGGGCGGTGGAGCGGGGGGGGGGCGTATTCGTTTTTTTGCTTGCCTTTGCTGCTACAGTAGACCATTGATCCCGCGTCCTCGAGAGGACGGACGGAGCATTGTTCCCACAGGACCGATCACCGCTGGCCAAATCGGTCCTTCCTGCGGTACTTTGCCGAAGGTGGCTGGAGCGGGGGGATGACCCATTGATACGGTTTGCGCCATTCTTAAAACTTGTTCTTTGCCCACATGCCAGCTACCGCCTCCGCCCAGTCATTAGTTGATCGCTAGGGGAAGGATGCGTCGTTTGTTGTGAGTTTTCCCCCTAATCTAATCTGGTGCAAGCCTAAACCATTGGGTACGGCGGTCCATTTATTGTATCAGCCGGGACCAAACAATGGAGGAAGGTACATAGCACTACACAAGTTAATTTGTATTGGTAGTGCGGAAAGGTGCGTGAAGGTACGCTATTATATACGTAAAAGACACTTACTAGGCTGTTCATCAATAAAAATGAAATAGGCGAAACCGCCACCGGAAGGGGGTGGAGTGGGAATTCCATTCCTCGTCTCTCAGTTCTTGCAGCAGGTTAGTGTTCAACGGGTAGTCAGTAGGCAAGAAGGCCTGTAACACTGCTGCTGAGCAGAAATCGGGGAAACCGAACTCACGCCCTCGGTGTGCGATAGATCGTATGTATCCACCGCGGCATGTCGAGAGGTAGACTACAACTGAACACGGTTGGCGAATCAAATACAGGAGCGGCAAGCAGCAAACAACAAGGCACGACGACAAGCATAGCATAGTACCTAATGTACTTGTATTCTAGCCATGGAGAAAACATGCGCGCGGGAAAGGGACGACAGGCATCGCGACTACTGCTGTACAATACACACCACAGCGTGCACCGATAAAAAAAAAAAAAACACATACTAGTATACATACCATACACGTGTCCTCCTCGTGGGTGACTCACGAGTTGAACGTGCCCTGCTCATACCTGGCATGTAAGCTTGTTGCAAAAGTGGGAAAGTCGAGAGTAATTCTATCAATCGTCTCAGTCGTTGCTTGCGCGAATCCCGGTTGGGGGCCCCACATGAAAGGAAAAGGAAGCCAGTGACGTTTTGTACAATGGTACCAACCAAGAAGCAGGCTTATGATATACAATAAAACGGGCCATAGGAGAGGAAGCCAGTTTGAGAGAGCAGCCAGCAGCCATAGGAATGGTGAACACGAACAGAGCCAGCCGCAGCCGGTTGGCACAGCCCGCCACGCACCTGGGTTGCAGCAATGAGGCCGGTGGCCACGACGGCCATCTCCACCGCGTGGCCAAAATCCAAAGTGGAGATCTTGCACAGCAGGCGCGCGCTGGTTGTATCGCAGCACCCGGCCGACTCTGCTGCAAGCCTTTGCTTCAAGTTCTCCAAAGCCGCCATGATTTTACTCTCCGCCCGGTGCGCCAACAGTTGTCCAGGCTCCCCACGACTGTCGGCAGGGATGTGAAGCACCCCCGCCCTATGCAAACCAAGGGTGGGGAGTGGCCCGCACCAAGCCTTTGCGACGCTGCTGCCCGTTTAAAAATGAATTGGTTGGGGAATTTGAGGCAACGGATACAATTTCAAAATACACACCAAGCTGTGCCGCTTGTTGCTTGCCGGAGGGCGACAGCTTCCAGTCCCCTTCAGCCAGCCTTCGACAGCTCTAATCCATTCACCCCCGCCTTCTCCCTTCACTCTCAGATGCAAGCACACCGTCGTCGTTGTCATCAAGCAAGGGAGATAGCATAGGGAGAGGGCGGGGTAGAGCTGAGAGAGGGCAGTGCAGAGTGCTGTACAGCAGGAGCGGGCCAAGCGGGCACCAACGGGGGCACGCGGACAGCGCCGTCAGCGAAGAGGCGGGGGGGGGGTGCACCGCGGGGTGACATACGGCGATTGATCATGACATCTTGGTCAAATGGCACCGCAGCTACGGTAGCCCCCTCAGCGCTCAGATACCAAGGCCAAAGGCAGAGGAAGGGTGTGCAACCTTATTTAGCGCCATAAAACACTCTGTACTTTTCTTTTTTGTGTAGTATTTGGTGTGCTCGTGAAGGGTCAAGCGCCCAATATATCAGGGAACAAGCGAGGAATCGTCTTACCTCTGCTGTCGTTGATGTCTAATTTGTCTCGGGCAAAGGTGACACCACAGCAACCACGAGCATCAGGGAGAAAAGGCAACACCAGCAGCACGGATGTTTCCTATGAGATTGCGCGAGGGTGCGGCTCTGTCGAAGAGCTTAGCACTGTGGGCCTCCACAGCAGTCGTTGAGACCAGGTGTGTCAAGCACGCCAATGTCAAGCTACCTCCAAAACTGACTTGTTCTGAGAGTGCGATCAGCACCCCTAATGGCCCCTGCTGGCTGTCTATTGCTCTACATATCTCGCAGCACCTGTATGTAGCACTGGTCCTGTGTGTGCCCTTTCAGCAGTTCGAAATCGTCGAGAATACAAGACTTGGACCGTGTCAGACCAAATTAACCCCTCTGTTTGGAAATTTGCAGCATTTGGCATTTTGGTACACATGTACACATCACTAAATACTGCCGTAGTCTATGCCTACATGTATCTACGGCTGTGGATACGGACGTACATGAAGGCACGGCGACACTGGCACACCCCACCTCCTTGGCCGTGAAACCAGAGACACGTGACCCAAGACAAACTGTTCATGCACTCGATCCCAACAAAATGCTCTTCAGGATCTGTAGCGTCGACAGGATGGGGGCGACTGAGAAACTGCCGCCGCAACAGCACCATCTTCGGCGTCGTTTTTCCACGGGTGCCGCTTCGGGAGCCATTGTTGTCCGCACCCCAAGCGCACACGTAGGTCACGGGCGAAGGAGTGCTCACGACCAGGCACAAGGAGATAGGACGGCGGGAGAGAAAACCTTCAGTGGCATAGTCCGCACGGAGGGAGAGGCATGGGGCGGGGAGGGGCAGCCTCCGGCAGGGGGTGATGATGATGAGGAGGAGGAGGAGGAGGAGGAGGTTATGGCGACCACTAGAGGGCGCAAGGAGAGAAGAGACAGCGTGACCGATAGCATCGTCAAAGGTGAGCTTCAGCAGCTCACGGCCGTACGCACGGACACAGGAGCCGGGGTGGATGTATGGGGGTATTATACCGGAGACCTGGGGGTGAAAGCGTAGAAATGTTACAGCAGTCAACATCACCGGTATCCCCTCTGTTCTTGACTACTGTACGCGTCCCGTTGGGGTGGAGGGGATGTTTTCCTTTTGACCTGACACTAGAATTTTTTCGATATTGCGGTGTTTGTGACAACGTCGTGTGCGTTTTGATGAAAACCCAAGCTATCATTTCCCGAGGTGCACAGCGTGACCTGATTAGACAACAACATTTTTGCAGCTTGTGGATGCATACATGTAGTTGTATTCTACCTTTCGGTAACCCGTTAGGCGGACCATGTGTTAGCTCCCACACCCTGGGCATGCCTTTTATTTTCTTGCAAATCATGCTCCTGGAGATATCAACGCACACTTGCCGACGTCTTTCTACAAGAGGTCCGAACATTTGTAATGCGGGTAACAATGCCATACGATGAGTTTGTGGCCGACCTCTCTTTTTCGGATACCCTCACACAGCGCATTCCGGTAATAGTATACCACACGTCCCTTTGTGCCGCCTGTTTTTTTGCTTGGCGGCCCTAGAGCGCGAGCAACATCTAGTGCGCCTCGCCAAGGCCGAGGTGGATACGGCAATGGCAAAGACCTTCAAGGTGAGGAAGTTCACCACCAACGCTGGCTGAATGCCGGTGTCATTCGTTCACATCCATCCTTCGCGAGGCGGGCTTGTGTATGCTGCTGAAAAATGCGACAGCCGCGATGACGGCAAATGCAGCAGCACAACAACAACAACAACGACAACAAACGTAGCCCAGCCTTAATTCCTCGCCACAAGACCAACTCTTTTCTGGCATCCTTACAAGTGGGCCTGTTGGGGCCTGTTGCAGGCCCCAAACTTATTGCTGCATCTGCGCACGCTTTTAGTCTGCCGTGACGTTTTTGTCGTTGTTCGGTCTCCTTCAAGTGTGCGTCTGGGCGTTGTTTGTTTTGTTTTGTTTTGTCCTTCTCTCGAATTTTCAATCCCCACCATCGAAACCACCGTTAAACCGTCCGTTGTGAGGCCTTTAGCACGTGGCTGCGTATTTCGGTGTCAGTCGGGGGTGGAGTATCATCCAGCGTTGCTGGCGGTCGTGTATATTTAGCTTCGATTAAAACGCGCAGGCGGCGTGGTGCGAGGATCGTAAAGAGTGGCTCCATTTGTTCCTGGAAAGGCCTAAGTGAGGTAATGTTTGCGGCTTCATATATCTGTAGCTTAACTACCTTTGGTATTTTGTAAATGAACCTAGCTACGGTCCAAAATAACCTCCCTCGCGCAAGGCGTCATCGTTGGGATCCCGCAAGAGGCCTCGCCAAGCTGGGGGATTCAACAAGGCGTACGATCGAACCGGAAAGCAGGTTCACTCGGATTTTGCTGCCGGAGGTGAGAGTCATGAATGCCTGTAATTGTTGTTGTTGTTGTTGATGATGGTGTTGGTGTAGTAGTAGTCGTCGTCGTCGACGACGACGTTGTTGTTGCTGTTGGTGCATTCTGCCGTTACCACACGTCTTGCCAGAACCCAAAAGAAATATTACATTGTAACGTCTTGCCAGAAATCCGTAAACAGTATTTAATCTCACTTGTTTCCGTAATACCATTGCCTACCACGCGTTGTGCAGCAGTCAACAGTCCCCTGTACTGCAGCATTCAAGCCGCCTTTATCGCTACTGCTGTTCTTGCTGTTGGTGCTATCTGGGGTGCACGCCGACATTTGTTTCTAGTCATCCCGTGTTTCCGTTCCCATCGTTTTCGCCCCGACCCCGTCCACCGCCTGCTGCGTGACACATCACGGCACGGTACACGGGATACGGTGCCACCTGGGTTATCCATTATCAGGCTTCGCGCGTTGGATGGGTTCAGCCTCGAAGGGGTGGCCCACGTTCAGGCACCGACTTCCGGAGGTAGCCCTAGCGGGTGAGAAGGGATTCAAACTTGCGGGCTCGGACCTTCTTTGTTCGAAAGTATACGTTATCTCACAGAAAGACTACCCGTTCGAGATATAACCTCACTCAGTCGGAAGGGATGTGTTGACGTCTTTACAGTGAGCGGGAAGACTTTTGTGACACTTTGTTGATGTTAGCATGACGTGCGCCGCTTTTATATGTCTTGACACAGGGATTCCCTGGTATTCCTTCCGCCACGGAGTGGCTCCATGTGCTCCATAATTTGAGAGCCAACCGGGTTTCACATTGTGTTGCAGTTATCGTTGTATGTCACCCCTTGTTTAGTAACAGTACCTTCGGTCGGTTGCTTCACACGATCCAGCTGCCGCTGTCTCTCCCTGGCAGCTTGTTGATCCGAGCTAGTGGCTGCGGTTCGGTAACTAGATGGTCATTGTTTGGTTCCTGGGCAGAGTACAGACCCTCCTAGCAAAGAGTGAGATAGAGAGGCAGAGAGAGAAAACCCCCATCTCTCCGCCCTCTCCGCACTTAGTTCACGCCGAAAGTAAGTTCAGCTCTCCGCCGTGCACCAGTTTTTTTTACGCCGTTTTTCCCACTGCTGTGGCATGCCGCGGGGGCGGTAATCGCACAACCCAGGCCACACGAACTGCGGGAAGTCTACCCTGGTGAACGCCCTGTCGGGGATACACCCCCGCAGGGGTCCCGCCTCCACCTCCGACCGCGCGGGCTGGACAGACCTCGTCGGTTTCTACCAAGTGGGCAAGAAGCCCCCTGTGCTGACTATGGCGAGTGTGTTGAAAGAGCGCCTCGTACAGTGGTTGCCTGGTGGTGATGTAGTTGTCTCTGTGTTTCGATCGAAGATTGCTGGTGGGTTTGTCTTTGTAAGTTGCAGAACGAACAGGACGACCCCCGGTGCTCCGTCCTCTCGAGGACGCGTGGTCAGTGGTGTGGCTAAGAAGGCATGCAAAACATGCGTATACCCTTCCCCCGCGGGGCTTGACCCTTTGCCAAAAATTGGAACAGGAGAGGCAGAGAGGCAGTCCCCTTTTTGTCGTCAATCGGTCGAGGGTTCCCGTGGGCCTCTATCCAAGAAATTCAGCGCTCTCGCGAGTATTTACTCAACTTGTAACAGGCAATCAGCAGTTGTCGTAATTTTTCGATCGAAGAGCCCTGGGCAACGGGCTTGTTATGCGTTTCCCGCTGTTCGGTGTCACATCGGAGAATACTTGGGGGCTTCAGTCGTCCGTCCTTTGCTGTAGTGGTTGTTTTGTGTCTCTTGCTTGTAGTATAGCTGTTTTTCTTTCTAGCCTGGTTTGCCGTAAAAAAAAAGCAAGACACAATACCCAACAGCAATAGTAGAGGTCGGAATCTTTGAAGCTTGGCCTCTACCTTTGTCTCCTCTCTTTTCCGAAGTAAGTGTAGCTCAACATGTGAATGCGTCCTGCAGTCTTATATATATATAGCCTCTGCAGGAATATTAACTTCCTCTTGTTCTTTGTGAAGGTCGATCTTCCCGGGTATGGCCACGCTGTCGCAACGAGGCACGCGATCAAGGGGTGGTTGAGGATGATCAAGGAGTACATCACCACCCGGCAAGAGCTCATCAGGTCTGTCACCACAATGTAAACCAAAAGAACCGACTCAAAAGTACACTGTTTTTGATACTAAGCTAGTGGTTTCTTGCCGCCGATACTATGATAGGGCACGACCGCCCTCAGGAGGAAAAGGTTTGCCCGCCCGAGCACAAATGATTGTTCGCATCACTGTGCTACGACCCCTTTGCCCCCCCCCCGGCGGCAGCGTGAATGACCCCAAGACCGTGCAATAGTTTTGACATGTTATTTTCCAGCAGCTTTTCATTCTTCTGCGTTGAGAATCGCGTGAAATTGCTTCACGTGGGTTCCGGAGGCGAATACAGGGAAACGCAGCCTTTTTGTTGATGATTTTCGTGTCGAAGCCGTCGGGGCGTGCTCAAGGATGCGGTCAGTGTGTGCGCACGTGCGCACCGAATACCCCCGTGGCTTTTAGTCTTCGCAACAACAACGTGGTATTTTCCCGCTGCTCGGTAGATACTGTCCGACAATTTAAATCTTCCGTCATCGGCGATCACCGAACCCAACGAAAAAAACGAAACAGTTAAAACCGTTCTCATGTGTATGCTCCCCTGCTAGACTGTACCTCTATTGCATGTTTTTTTATCAGGTGCTGCGTTCTCGTAGACTGCACCCGAGGATTCTGCGAAGAGGACCGGGCCCTGCTGCAGCTTCTCGCCAAGCGTAACATCCCATACCAGGCAAGCAGCGGCAGCAGCAGCAGCGGCAGGACCATCAACAGCAGTAGTTGTGAATCCCAACTGAACACTGGGAGAGCTCCCGCGTTTGTGTATGTTTTTGTGCGAACCCGCGCGTCACACTCAGCGATGACGTTGTCGTTAATTTTGTGGAATAGGCACACAAAGCGATGACGTCGTAGGTCATTTTTTGGAATAGGCAAACTCGGCGATGACGTCATCGTTAATTTTTTGGAATAGGTTCCCCGTGTTTTCGTCACTCTCACGGTACTTTTGATCACACACACTCAAGAGTGCGCCCTTTCTCCATGCCCACACCCCACAGCACTGACTGTGTATGACGGGAGCAACAAGCACAGCAGATGGATAGTAGCACGATAAATATTGAGTCAATAACATCAAAGCGTGACTTTTAGGACACCGTGACGAAGAAAGTTCACTGAAGACGGACAGGTTACAATAATACATCACACACTCCCAAAGGAGAATACTGAGAATGTTCTGCAATAGACCGATCCTGGGAAGCACGATGTTATCTTGCGTCACCCTCGGGATGCCCGTAGCCAACGTCCCGAAGGGAGACCTTGTTTGCAATTAGTGCAAATGTATCGTTTCGATGTTTTGTTGCTTGGGCTTAGCTTTCTCTGACGGCAGTGAATATTTCATCACTCTTCCTTCTGAGCGGCACGCGAGAGGCTCGTCAGTACAGCACCGGGCATGTCCGGAGCTCGCCAGGCTTTCGTGGAGCATGTGTTCGACGCCTAATCTCGCGGCGGACTGGTGTTCTATTACCCGTGGATGATTTTCCAAACAAAAAGTGCTCTTTCAAACGTTTCCCACTCGCCGGTGTGCTCGGTCCAACGCCGCAACGAGCACCGCCTTGCAGATGAAGCTGATCACATGCTCCCACATTCCATCCTATTCTTGTTGCTTCTTCTGAACCATGCACTTCCGAACTTTGAGACACACCAAGCCATAGATATACGTTCAGCCAAGTAATCTTTCGTCACCTCCGGGAGCCCCAAAACCAACGTCCCGAAGGGGAGCTTGTGTGTATTACAGTCCCGTGTGTGAGTTCCCTACATCGTGTCCAACTTCCCAGATAGTCTCTGAGCGAACGTCGCCATTCTCGTCGCCACGGTCGCTCGTGTTTATCCATATTTTATTGGGTCGTTCTGCAATTTTCTTAGTTTTTGCTTTGCCACGTCGTCATCGCCGTCGCTGTTTTTTTGTTTTTTTTGGCCGGATGCCTTTCGTTTTGTCTCAGATCGTCCTGACCAAGGCGGACCTCCTCACTCCCGAGCTGCTGTCGGCTTGCGTGCTGCTTCTGCGGCGTGACCTGTCCGACCTTTGCGGCCAGGAGGCCGGCTCGACGGCTCCGTTTTCGGCCGTGTGCGGCACCTCCGGGGCCGGGGTAACGACCCTCTGGAAGGACCTGGCCAAGCAGTAAGTGCCCGTGCGTGTTCCCCGTCGGACTTGGAACGCCCCCGTTGCTTCCGACAGGCTTGCGCATTGTGTTGTGTCGGTCGATAGGAAAAAAGCAGAAGAGAGAAGACACCACCCGAAAGACCATGTCGAACCATCATCTCGCACACGGTCTATTTGCTCGGGTGTATACTGCTTCTAAGTAGGAAGCACGCGGTGGCGTTCGTAAGCCTTGCGCCTTCTGCGAAAATACACGATACTTGAAACATTTAGACAGTCAATGAGTGTCTTTGGATTGATCTAGTAGGTAGGCCGCTTCTTTCTGGAGAGATCTGCCTTCACCTGATTGGACGATGGACATTACTCGATGATGGGTTCTAAGACAGAGGAACGACAAAATAACTCAAGCATGGGCTATACACGTGGATTCCATCTCCACCGTGGTGAGTGTCACTTCCAACTCCTGTTCAGTCCTCGCTCTGATGGCGTCAACTCGAGGGAGCTCATCCCTCGCCCAGTCCACCGGAAAAACAAGACATCATTACACTTTCGTGCTTGCGTACTACATAGCTCATCTGTCCGTCAAGTCCAGACGTTCGTGTGCGTGTTATTTGTGAGTTGAAGTCGACCCTTACCCCCCTTCCCCACCCCGATTTTCTTGTTGATGGCGTGCGTGATGCAAAAGGGCGGCCAAGGCACCCGGATCGCTCGTGGCGATGCAGGCGGCCCATCTAGCCGCGAGAAAAGCTAGGGAGAAGGAAGAGGCAGATTTAATGGCTAGAAAGGCAGCGAGAACGAGCAGGGAACACTGACGAAGTATGACGATGGTGGTCGCGGTGGCAGAGGGAGCTTTGGCTCAAATTGCCAGTGGATAGAAGCGGTCTAGTGACCGGATGGTACAGTGTCGTCGACGGCTTTTGTTGCCTTTGCTTTTGATGTTGTGTTTGAATGTATTTCTGGTCTGTCCGAGCTTTTGTGTCGGAAATGGGAAGTATAGCTGTCGAATGTCCTGCAGTACTTCGAAGATTTCGTTGTTCGAAACCAACCGTTAGTGGTTGAAAATGAGTCAAAGGAAGAACGACACAACATGGTAATGGGGTGTGCCCCAAGCTAAAAGGAACACAGTAGTTATTGGCGGCGTGCAATGCGGGGCTGGGACGGACCTGGGAAGACCCCGCAATCGTCCGCAGTTTCTACCCACCGTCGGTCGCGTTCTCTGCTAGGCACGATATTGTCCAATGCCTTGTAACCCTTGCTTACTACTGGTACTATTTAGTACGTTTTGCTCTAGATTTGTGTTCAAACGTGAAACCGTAACTCGCGGCACTTTCGATACGCCGTGTAAAGGATGGCTCCTCGGCCGTGCTGGCTATGTATGTACCATCAGAGCACGTAGGCATCGACATCGAAGCAAGAGGGGGGATGAGGACAAGCTTGTTGACCATTTCACAATAGCAGTGATATCTCTGAAAGTGTATCACGATAGTGCGGGCGAACGCACAGGCGTGCGATGGAACTTGAGAGCTCGATGATCTACAACCAAGAGATTCGCCGAGAGCTTTCCTTGCAGATTGTGATGCAATCGGTCTGCAAATTTCGGTCGCACACCTGTCTGTGCATTCGCCCGCCCACGCCTTCACGGTAGTGTAGCGAAACTTGCACGAAAACAGAATGAATGGTAACGTGCGCACCTGAGCACCTGGCTTTCGAAAGTAAACACGACTAAATAGTACACCGATGTCTTCGACGTGGCGCGCGTGGCCTGCGGTCGCAGCCCATCATCAAACATTTGTCCACGTGGAACCAAAGGAGCTGACCATCACCGGAACTTTTCCAAGGACAAGTTGATTGAATAGCACGCGTGTGACAAGTGCAATGTAAGCAATCTCGTACCCACGATCAGCAACGATGAACTAGTAGAATGCATGTTTCATTGCGAAACTGGGGGGGGATGAATGCTCCTCCCTTTTTCGACAACGTGTCGCCATAAACTCCTCCTCTTCTCTACAGCGTGTCCCCATCAACACAAGCTCTGCGCTACTGGTACTCTTCTTTTCCTTGAGTAGTGTACCAAAGGAGTTGTCATGGGTCAACCTTCTGCTATCTCGCTGTGGCCCACGACCATTGTCGCTGAAGCGGAAAGAAGAGACGAGGGCTTAAGGGCAACGAGGAGGGGAAGCCGCGGGCCTCCAGGTCACCGAAGTCTCCACTTGTTGATGTTTTGCCGCTGCTGCTGCAGTCGCAACGAGGATTTTCCCTGTCGTATTTGGCCTAGTCGCACGCTATCTTGGAGTCAAAGGAGCTGAGGGTGATCGCAAACGCCTGGAACGGTGAAATGGGGTACTACACGAGGACCAAAGCGAGAGGCAGTCGAAAATTTGGCGGAGGCAGGGGCATGGCGTTGGGATTGAGAAACAGAGGCAGGGGCATGGCGTTCAGATTGGGAAAGATGCTCACGGTTTTCTTCTCAGAGAGCACATAGCCACGTAAACAACGACACGTGACCCACGTCCAGTCTGTCACGACTTCAACTTTCGTCAGCCCGATTTCACCTACAACCAAGGTGTGAGGCGTGTGCGTCCGGGGAGGGATACGCGGGGGCTAAAAAAAACGGTCCAAGTACTCCATCCATGTCCATGTCCAGAGTCTTATATCTCATCTGACGACCCTGCGGTGGGCTGTTCACCTGGAAGTCCATGGTGAACTCCTCTCGAGCCACCCTGCCGAACTGCAGAATGATGCGGTCGAAATCTTCGGTGGAAACGAGCTGGAAGTTCTTCACGCTCGCCATGGTTACCCTCCCGTAGAAGTTCAGCACGTACGCTCCCACCTGCGCGGATGAGATGCGATGGAGTGGGGAAGGGTTGGGGTGTCTACGAAAAGTCCAATGCGGGTGTTCTCGTGATTTTTATAAGGCTCGCGGAAAAGGACCGTACAAAACAGAGTCTTCATCTTCAATCAAAACAAGCTCGAGTGTAAAGGAGGTCTAGCAACAACTCCTTCTCCAGCACGACGAATGCAATCGAGCGCGTTGCGGGCACGTTGTTTGTACTCTCCGCTCCGTTTTTTCTGAATAATTGTGTGGCCAAGCGTGCTAAGTTGGTCGATATCGATACACGAAAATGATTGACGAAGCTCCATCGAGCGTTGTTGTGGGGACGAACCACTTGTTGTGTGTGTCTTGCTTATCCCTGTCTTGCCTATTGTTCTGCGAGGCTATGAGACGGCCAAACGTGTTTCTGGCACATAAGAAAGGCTTAGTTATCGAACGACGCACACACACCTTCACCTTTGTTATCTAAATGCTACGACCTAGAGACTCGTTAGCCACCACGAAGAATTAACGGCTCCCCGGGGCAGGAGAAAACGAGACGATAACGATTTCCGGCAATGAAAAAACAGCGACAACAAACACCTGGTCGTTCCACCGGGGAGGCTTGTTGACCATGTATAGCGACCCGTCGTAGTCCCTGTTCTTGACCCTCTCGATGGCCTTGGAGCCGCCTCCTGCGGTCTGGCTGCCCCGGCCCCCCTCCAGGCCGGACCACTTGCACACCTCTCCCGCCTCGTTCACGGCAGGAATCGCCACCTATGTTGATGTTGGCAGAGGGGGAGAAAACACAGATAGATATTGGGCAAGAAGAGGGCATAGGATGAAAGGGTGAGTCATGATACGCACGGCAACGACAAGAGAATTTCAGACATTGGGCAGGAAGAAAGAATGCGATGCAAGGATGAGTTGCGACACGTGACTGCGACGGGAATAAAAAAACACGAAAACGTTGGTCGAGGACTTGTTCGGAGGGGAATGGTTGCGGTTTTCGTTTTATTTAATGGAAGGACAGGTGAAACGTGTGGACAAGGTCGACAAAGTGAACGGGGTGTGTAGCGAAGGCAAGAAAGCAACCAACGCCTGTTGACATTATTTGAGAGTATCACGACCTATCTAAGGGAAGAAATACAAACACACGAAAGACAAAGGATGGAATGGAGAAAATGCGAAGCGCATGGGCACCGATTTGAATAGTCGCCTGGAATCAATCGCGTATGAACAGAATAATCAGGAGAAAATTAAAATTATGATGGAAACGAGAAAAACGAGCTTTTAGGTGTCTCTTTTGTTCGACCTGCCATCTCTCCTCTGTCCAGAGGGAGTCAATGAACCAGGAAAACGTAAGAGACAGGACACCACTACTAGCGGCCACGCCTTCCTCTCGGTGGGAGCGGTAACGACAAAGCCGGGCGAAAGGACAAACTGGTGGATGCGAAGCGAAAAACAAACAGGCCAACCGCTTTCCAAGCCACTAAGAGATGCTTCGCTGCGTGGTACCGGTGAAACGTTATTGGTTCTCGTTTTGTGTGTACAGAATGTATACAGCTGAGGCTCATAGCAATGCGCATGCTCTCCACGTTTGAGGAATAGTCTATTTAGTGCACTGGTAACGTCATTGGGGGGCAAGAAAGTGTGTTGATATGGCGTGTGCCCGACACTAATCGTGATTGACCAAACAAACCCCGCTTGCACGCCCCATATGCAGTTGATTGGAAAACGATTCTGCCGTGCTGGGGCGTATACAACGTATGGGTGGATGTAGGTGTGCAACACGCACGAGGTAGAGCAAGGACCTTTTTCCTTGTTTGCGCACTTGAAGGGGTCCGGGCAAAGCGAGCAAAGTGTTGTAGAAACACCACACGTTTTCGCGAGCATCTTAATGACAACACAACAACAAAAACAGAAACAACAGTAACAACAACAACAACAACAACAACAACAACAACAACAACATCAACTACGGCAGCGACGGACGCATCTATATATTTACCTGCATTTTTCTCGGCCCCCTAGAGCCGAGTACGTTGGAGGCATACATGACGCAGCCCAGTTCCTCCCGAAGAGACATGTTCTTGGCACCACCGCTCCCAGAGCCACCGCTGCCGCCGCCGTAGTTGCCGCTGCCCCAGCCCCCTCCTCCGCCGAGCTCTTTCGGGCTGTAACCATCGTCGAACACCTGCAGGAACAACGAAAGGCAACGCGGCAGCAGCGACTTTAGGAACACCTTTGGCAGCGCCTTCAGGGACAGCTTTCAGGACGACCTTTGGTAGCGACTTTTAGTTTTGGGGGAAGACAAGCAGCATACGCCATGCAAAGAGACACACGGCGCAACAAGAAACAATCATTGTAGACAGGAAAACCAAAATCATCACCACCCAGAAGCAACCCCCTTTATATGAACTAGCACGACTTCTCGCCGGAGCGTGCTCCACATAGCACACAACATAATATTGTTGCAAACATTGTATTGCCGGAGGCCTTAATATTTTTTCGTCCCCACGCCACGGGACCACACACACACCTGAAATTCTGTGCCCACGAAATTGGCCCGGAGCTTTCCGAGGAAGTTGGTCGAGTTTCTGTCCAAATCCCCCGCTCTCATCGACACCAGGTAGTTGGACGTGGCGTTGTTGGGGCGCTTCTTGGAGCACATGAGGAAGCGGTCTCCCTCCTACCAAAACAAAAATAGGCGAAAAAAACAACAATTCCGACGCAGAAACAGCATTGTATCGTATCGCGAGAAGACTGGAAGATAATTCATTTGTGGTATGTATGTACGCATACACGTGTGCCGTAAGAGCCGGAGAGATGGCACCGGGTGCGATCGCTTTTTAAAATGTTTTTTTCTTCGTGGTGTTTGACGCACCCCGGTGCGATCTCTCCGACCCCGGTGCGGAAATGCAAAACAATCGTCTCGTTTGGCTTTTTCAAGGCACCCGGGTGCGATCTCTCCGACCGGTGCGATGTCCAATGAAATACACGCAGCGCGGCCTTACGAGTGCTACCGTGGAGTTGTATGCACACACCCCGGTGTCATCTCCCCGACCGCTGCTATCTCTCCCCGTCTGGCGGTACATACGGTATCAGGATGTCTCCCGCTTTCATTTCGGTATTTCCTCTATGAATACCACGCATGCACCAGCACAACAGATTTCCCTGCCTAAGGAGGGGGTAGGCTACGGCTCGACGTTGTGTGCTTGGGTGGTGTACGGAGTGTACAGTTTGCAACGTCCATACCCATTAAATGAAAACAACAGACACTTCTGCGTGAACCGTAACGACCGTGCATGCAGTGGCGCGCCGCTGACACAGTCACCACATGTACAATGCACGCACATGATACCTCTTTACGGCAGCTTAAAATGAGCTCAATTGGATTTGAGGGTCGATGAGGTCGGTGAGATCGCACCAGGTGCGATCTCACTCACCCCGTGCGGAAATACAAATATATCGCGCCGTTCATGTCTTCAATCGCACCCCGAGACCATCTCTACGACCGGGGCCATCTCTGCGACCAGTGCCATCTCTCCGACTGTTACGATATTTACCACCGGTTGCAAGCCTGAAAAAGGAAGGAGACGCCGAAGATAGGTAGTCTGCTGTGTGCACGCAGATCGGAGCCGCTTGGTTGAGGAGTGAAGGAAGAAGACCGTAGGGTGTGGGTAGAAGGTGTGGATAACGACAACTAAAGGGTTGTGAGGCTGGAGCAGGAAATTGAAAAGTGTCCAGAACAGGAGTGTCAGAACATTTCGAATGACGCCACAGAAAAAATCTGCGCTTCTAGTACATGCAAAGCTTGACACAGCCAGTGCGACGTTGGGAACGTGAGCACATCTCGCCTATGCCTTTGTGGGCTCTTTGCATCGAAACAGACACAAGGCGCGCACGTGGGTTCGGTTGCCTGCACCTTTGCTATTCTATCTCCCTCGCCTCTGAAAGCGCGTCGGTGGCGGTGATGACGACCACACACGCCCGCCGACATCCTCACCATGGAGGTGGACCCACTTGTGTCATCAACCTACCATACATCTCCCCTTGCCTGCTGAAGAGGGTTGTCCGCGACCCCTATATCAAACGTCTCTATCAAGGTTGTGTTGTTCACTGCCGGTCGTAATGTCACCGTATCTTTCATCCATGTGTTTTAAGGTCGCCGCATCTTTCACCTTCGTGTGCCCTAAAGTCACCGTATCTTTCACGTTCATGCGCCCAAAAGTCGCTGTATCTTTCCCCTTCATTTGTCTTAAGGTCACCGTATCGTACCTCCATGCGTCCTGAAGTCACATATCTTGCACCTTCATGTGTCTTGAGGTCACCGCATCTTTCACCTTCATGTGTCTTAAAGTCACATATCTTGCATCTTCATGCGTCTTAAGTTCACCGTATCTTTCACCTTCATGTGTCCTAAAGTCACATATCTTGCACCTTCATGTGTCTTAAGGGTTCCGTATCTTTCACAGTAATGTGTCTTCAAGTCGCCGTATCTTTCACCTGCATGTGTCGTATCTTACACCTTCATGTGTCTCAAGGCCACCGTATCTTTCAGCTTCATGTGTCGTAAAGTCACATATCTTGCACCTTCATGTGTCTTAAGTTCACCGTATCTTTTACCTTCAAGAAGAGGCTGTACTCCGGGAAGATCTTGTTGGCCCTGGTCTTGTTACGGCGGATGTAGCACTGGACCACGCCCGCCGCTCGCGGGCACGGGGAGAGCAAGAACCGCTGCGACACGGGGCAAAAAACAAGAAAACGAAGCACACAGGACCAACAAAATAAAATTAGAGTCATGAGTCAACCAGGCGGGCTGTTACTAGTTATTTGCCCTATTCACCAACAGGTAGAAGAACGTGGTAATACAACAATTTCCTTGACAACAAAATGCCTTTGCCGTAACAATAAACATGAGAAACAGACGAAAATATGGACACCCCAAGATAGAACCGCTTCCGGAGGAAGGTATTTCTTTTCCTGGTGGACTCCTTATTATTTTCCGTGGCATGGACCGATTTGGGGAATAGGGGTTTGTCAGGGATCGATTTTGGGAATAGGGTTTGTCTGCCTTGCCCCCCATTTTCCCATACCCCAGGGAGAGAATTGGGTCGCGATTCTGACGGCGCTCGACTTGCCGTAGGCGAACTTTGCATGGCGGCACACCATCCTAACGAAAATCGCATAGGGTACTCTGTGGGAACAATGAGTGAGTACATGGGTAGTGTAGAGAGGGAACGCAGTGTGTGCAGATTGTGCAGTCACAGCCCGGTAGTACTCGGGGCCAAACGCCGCAAGAAGCTTTGAAATAAAGGTAGGTGCATTGAAAGATTTTACCGAGCTCGCGTGGGATGGACGATTGAGTCATTGTAGCTGACACTTTGCGAAACACGCACACACTAAGACCATGTACACGTGCTCTCCATTCATGTACCTCATTGCCGGTCACGGAAATGATTGCCCTGATACGTCCACGTCGTCGACACGTAGTGTCGAACAGAGCGAGATAAGAAAGAGGGAGATCGGCGGAATGGACAGGCCTTCGCACTGGAGAAAACAACGAACGAACATCCTCAATATCTTTTGAGACAGAAAAGATGAGCGATTTTCGACTGCTGCAGGGATTCGAAACGAAACTGGAAATCGTTCGGATGGAATGCACAAAAAACGAAGACAACGACACACACACGATGTTCGAACGATTCACAACCTTCTCATGGAGCGGTCCAGGTGTTAACATCACCTTCGACTTCGTTGTCGCCTTCGGATAGAGACACTCACCTTCATGTCGGAGAGGTCGAGGGCGGCCATGTTGAACTCCATTTCTCCGCCCCCGCTTACCCCCGCCCCCACCACCGCCGCAGAAGGTGTGGCGGCGATGCCGTCACGAGGGGCGCGGGCACCGCCACCGCCTGCCCCCCCTCCCGCCACCGCTGCGGCCTCTCCCGCTCCTCTCTTCCCGCCGCCATCCCTTCATCGAACACCGAACACGTGGTGACATGGGCGCAATCACGAGACTCAAAAGGTCGTAATGTTGTTGTTGCTATTTCGAGGGGACTTCCTGGTAACACAGGTGTCGCGACTTGACCGCGATGTAAAAAGCCGAATGGCCACGGTAATAGTCACCCAGTAGCCCCCCCCCCCCCCCCCCCCGAAATTAAATAAAAAGGAAAAAAAACACGCCGCGGATTATCATTTAAAAAAAAATTTCGGGGGAAAAGGGGGGGTTTTTTTTTTTATTTTTGTTAAAGGAAGAAAGCTCCCCAAACGAAGGGGCCGAAAAATTTCGCCAAAGTAAAAAAAGGCCCTCCGGCCTTTTTAACCTCCTCCGTTTGAATTGGGTTTCTGGAATCCTTTGTCTTTTTTTTCGCTTTTTTTTTTCCCCTCGCCCCCCTTGGCTGGGCCAACAACGGCACCGGGTTTTTTGAAACGCTCATCGGAATGTTTTTGGGCGTCTCTGGGATTTTTTTTGTTTCCGCCCTTTGTGGGGTTGGGCGTTTTTCCTGGTTTTTGGCGGAACGCGAAGAAAAAAAAATATATTTAAAAAAAATAAGGAGGTTTTTTTTGGCAAAAATCTTTCGAAAAGGAAAAAATTTGTCGTGAAAATTTTTATGGGCGG